GCTGGCTAACATGACATAACAGGAAAATGATAAATGTTGGAGAAGATGTGGGAAAATTGGATTGTTGGTGCAGTTGTGAATTGATCCAACCATTCTGGAGAGCAATTTGGATCTATGCCCAAAGGGCTATAAAATCGTGCATACCCTTTGACCCCGCAATACCATTACTAAGTCTGTATTCCAAAGAGATCATGAAAATGGGGAAAGGACCCACATGTACAAAAATAGAGCATCTCTTTTTTGTGGTGGCAAAGAATTGGAAATTGAGGGGATGTCCGTCAATTGGGGAATGACTAAACAAGTTGTAGTATATGAATGTAGTGGAATACTTTTGTGCTATAAGAAATGATAAACAGGCAGACTTCAGAAAAACCTGGAAAGACTTGTATGAACTGATGCTGAGTGAAGTGAGCAGAAACAGGAAAACGTTGTACACAGTAACAGCCACATTGTGCAGTGACTGACTTTGATAGACTTAGCTCTTCTCAGCAATGCAAGGATCTAAGACAACTCCAGAAGACCCATGATGGAGAATGCTATCCACATGCAGAGAAAGAACTTTGGAGTCTGGATGCAGATTGAAGCATACTATATGCTGTCTTTGTTGCTGTTGTTATTTTGTTTCTTCTTTCTTGTGGTTTCTCCCATTGGTTTTAATTCTTCTTTACAACATGACTAATGTGAAAATATGTTTAATATGCATGTATATATAGAGCTTATATCAAATTGCATGCTGTCTTGGGGAAGGGGAGGGGAGGGAGGGGGAGAAAATTTAAAACTCAAAAGCTTATGGAAGTGAATGTTGAAAACTAAAAATAAATAAATTTTTTTAAAAAGCTGTATTCAAAATTATCAGTCTATTGAGATCCTCTGATGGCATTCAGGAGGAGAATAGACTCAAAAATTACGAGAAGGGGAATTTGGTGCTGTGTCTTAGGGACTCCGTATACTGACCAGATACTGCCTTAACTCAGTGGCACCTAATGGGTTTTTGGTGCTCAAGAGTCTTGTGCTGATTAGGCTACTATAATTGTAGACTCATAGACTTCACAGTCTTGGTTTTTGTTGTTGTTGGTGGTTTCTGTTTTGTTTTTGTGAGGCAATAGGGATTAAGTGACTTGCCCAGGGTCACACAGTAAGTGTCAAGTATTTGGTCTGAGACTGAATTTGAACTGAGCTCTTCATTACTTCAGGGCTGGTGCTCTTTCCACTGTGCCACCTAGTTGCCCCTAGACTTCATAATCTTAACCCTTTATTGAATTAGTTTAACTTCACCCTGTCCTTGTATCCTTTCTCCCTTTTTTCTTTTACTGCTCATCTCTTTTCAAACCTCAGCCCTACATTTCTTCTACCATCTACCTGCCCTGCTCCCACTTACATGCTTCATAATGTTGCTGAATCAAGTCACCTAACTGTGCTGAGTCCACTAGAAATTTATGTTATCCACTCTCAACTGGGTCCTTCCTGTTATACATCAAACATTTCACTATTGTCTGGTTAACCATCATTCTCTCCACATACTTGTTCCAAAACTTCTCTTCCTAAAACACGTATGCCACCCTCTTCCTAATTCTTCTCAACAAAGGGCTTTATTGAGAAAATTGAGGTTACCCATTAGGATCTCCTTCTCCTTCACAGCTCAGATTACTTTCTCATTATCCCTCATTTTAGTCTCCTTTGTTTGATCTCAAAGGATATATTGGCCTAGACCAACTTCTCTATGTATGACCTTTGTCCCATCCTCTCTCATTTCTTCTGGCAGATTGCTCCTTCCTGTTTCCCTTATTTTCAACCTCTTTTGGTCCATTGGTTTTGTCTCTGCTTCCTACACTCTCATCCCCCCTATTCTTAAAAAGCTTTCAACTTGACTGTATCATCTTTTTAAGCTATCATTTTATGTACTGTATGTCCTCCCTTTAAGAGCCAGACTCCTAGAAAAAGCTGGCTTCACTTATTGACTCAACTTACATCTCATTTATTTTGAAAATCTTGAAATACAGTGTCTATCCCCAGCATTCAATTGAAACTAATCTCCTGAAGATCAGTAAATACACATTAATTTGTATTTATCTCTTTATTGTTTAATCTACTGACTTTCTTCCACTTCTCACACTTGACCGCTCTGCAGCATTTGACACTGCTGATCAAGTCAGTGAGAATTGATTGTACCAGGCACTGTGCTGAATGCCAGGGACACGAAGAAAGACAGAAACAGCCTTTGCTCTCAAGGAGCTTGCAATTTAATGGAGGAGAAAACATGCAAATGACTATGTACAAATAAGACATAGACAGGATAGACTGGAGGTAATCAGCAGAAGGAAGGCACTGACATCGAGGGGGCTTCGGAAAGGCTTTCCATTGCAAGTGGCCCTTGAGCTGAGCCTTCCATGGCATCATAACCCAGTTACCTTGAGTGTTATCTTCCTTTTCATTATTGTAGTCATTGTGCACTTTGTTCCCCTGGTTCTGCTTTCTTTGTGTCAGTTCATGAGTCTTCCTGCATTTCTCTGAATTTTTCATATTGTTTCTTACGGTACCCTGATATCCCTCTACTCTCACACATTATAGTTTGTGCAGCCATACCACAATCTCTTGTTTGTTGGTTTGGGGCCTACATTTCTGCCAAATTGGGTGTCTATGTCTGGACTATAACTGATCCCTTGTATTCCTACTCTGCAGTATTCCCTACTGAGAAAGAATCTTTTAGCTGTAGCTTAAACAGTCCTAATCACTGAATGGGCGTTGCCTCAGTCAAAGTGAGAACTCAGAAAGACCTTAGCTTAAAAAGGTTGCTCAGGTCTGCCACTGCATCTAGGGCAATATCTGGTTGCCCTGATCTGTATCTTACCATGGGACCCAGATGACTCTGGAGGAGAAAGTGAGGCTGGTGACTGCACAGCCCTCCCTCACTGTAATCCAATTCACTTGCAAGTCATGGCATCACCTGCCTGATGTCATGGTCCTCTTTGAAAACAAAGGACAAACTGCACACAATCTAGCTTTCGATTCCCCCTAAATGTTTGGAGAGAGAAGACCAGAAAGACAAAGACCCTGGAAAAGAGAGCAACCTAGACAGAGAAGGGTGTAAGTGAGAAGAGTCCTAGGAGGAGAGCACATGGTAGGAAGGGAGGAAAGCTAAGCTCAGGAAAGCAGCCCCAGTGGAAAACAGGGTCCTGAGGAGAAAGGAGAGAAAGAGGAAGAGTGCAGAGGGAGAGTCAAACTCTAAAGAGACATGGAAGAGCAGAGCCCAATAAGAAACTGGGCCCAGCTAGAGTCTCAGTGCCCAGTCCTGCCTCATCAGAGTCCAGGCTCTGAGGCTGGAATTTCTTCACTTCAAAGGTTCTCAGCCACAGAAACCACACTAGGAGGCTAGAAAAGGAGTTAACTAGTCTCTAGGGAGGGGAGGGGCCAGTGCCTAGGGCTGCAGTTCAGCCTGGGGATTTGGCTGAGCTAAGGTCAGGAGGTCCCCTCAGGCCAAGGCCTGGCTTGGGGCAATGTCTGCCAGAGGAGAGCTGCAGGTGAGTGACAGGAGAGCAAGGAGGAGGGGCAAGGGTTCTGGGCATTAGGGGCGGAGGGAGAGAACACAGAGCTTTGCTTTTTTCTCAGAGAAAAGGCTATGTAGGGTGAGGTCAGAGGGCAGCTCTTTGTCACTGTCCAGAGGCCTTTTCTTAACCAATCACGTTGGGAAGGGAGGACTATGTTGAAAAAAGGGAAGGGGTTGGGGTCGGCGGAGAAGAGCTTAAGCTAAAGAGAGAAAAGGAGGGAAGGATGGACAGACAGAAGGAAGGAAAGAGAAAAGGATAGAAGACAGGCAGGCAGGAGGCCAGTTCCAGCATCCCTGTGGAGCTGGGGCTGTGAAGAGCTTGAGCCTTAGGAAGCAGAACTACAGTCCAGAGAGGCCCAACACTCTGCTGTGCAGCCCAGCAGGCCTGGCTTTGTGGGGAGCCACAGGCAGGCCTCTGGAGAGCATCATCGAGAGTCAGAACGGGGCCTTTCTGAAATTGTTGGTGCCTCGAAGGAGGGTCTGTGTCCCCTAAGCTGCATTCAGGTGAGTCCTGCGCCTGCTGCCTGCTTCCAAAAACAGAACAGGTACTCCACTGATGTTCACTCTCCACCATTGCCTCATTGTTGCTCTTTAGTTCCTGTTTATTTCCCGTCATCTTTTTCTCTCTTTGCTCTCTACATTCCAGGCAGACTGGCCTGCTTGCCATTCCCTGTCTGCTTCCCTCCTAGGTGCCTTTGCATTGGTTGTATGCTTCGTACATGGGAGATAGAGTGGCACATGGATGTGGAGAGTTGAAAGGAATTTCAGTGGCCATCTAATCTAATTCATTCTGAAAAAAATTGATTAACAAGCCTTTATTAAGTACCTACTATATACCAGGTGCTGTACTAGGCTTTGGGGATACAAGGAGCTTAATTTTTTCCTCAGGTGAGACATTATGTTCTTATATAAGTATATACAGAATCAATGTAGGATAATTTAGTGAGGAGGCGCTAGCAGCTGGAGGGCAGGGGTGGATCAAGAAAGGTTTCTTCTAGTTGGTGATTGAGATGATTTTTGAAGGAAATTAAGGCTTCTAAGAGGCAGAATTGGGGGAAGAGGTTTTAAATGCCAAACAGAAGAGTTCATATTTGATTCTAGGGTTAAGAGAGAGTTTCTGGAGCTTATTGAACAGAGGTGTTACATGGCCAGACTTGTGTGTTAGGAAAACCTTAAGCAGCTGTGTAGAGATGGATGGGAGAAAGAAAGGCTTTGAGGCAGGGAGCCCAATTTGGCGGCCAGTGCAGCTAGTCCAGGTGGGAGGGGATGAAAGGGGGCTATATGAGTGGAGAAAAGGGAGTGGGTGCAAGAGGTGTTGTGAAGGTATAAGCAGTAACATTTGGCAGTTTGATTAGATAGATGGGGGAAGGAAGATTGAGGAGTTGAGAATGACACCAGGGTTCCTAGCCTGAATAATGGTTGCCTCAATAGAGACAGAGATGATCAAAAGTTTTTGGGGAAAGGTAATGAGTTCTGTTTTAGAGAATTTGAATCTGAGTTGCCTATGGGACATGCATTTGGAAATGTCTCGTAGGCAATTGATGGTGTGTGATTGGAGATCAGGAAAGAGGCTAAGGTTGAATATATGAGATAATGTTTGTAAAAAGCTTAGCACGGTGCCTGGCACATAGTAGGTACTTAAAAAATGCTTGTTCTTTTCTTCCTGTACATGGACCTGGGAGTCGTCTGTGTAGAGTTGATGACAAAAAGGAACTCTCACATTACATGTTGGGCCAGTGGTCATCTGGTCTTTACTTGAAGGTCTGTAGTGAAGGAGTATCCACTTGTGAGGTGGCATTTCCAAATTTTGGAAAGCTCTAATTGTTAGAGTCAGAAGACCTGGGTTCAAATCCTGGGTCTGCTACTTTCTATCTATGTAACCTCTGACAATTTGCTTAACTCCTCATCTTCAAAATGAAAGGGTTGGACTAGACAGTTTCTGAGGCACCTTCCAGTGATCTGTCCTAAAACTATGAGAGTGACCACAAACTGGGAGGATGCTAGATGTGGCCAATAGTCCGGTCTAGTTCTGCCTTCTCATTTCATCACCAGGAGGCAGCATCCCAAAGCCAAGAGGTTTCCTTTCTGGAAATGTGCATGAGTTGAACCTCTCAGTCTCAATTTCTGCTCCCCTCAATTCCTCCAGTAGCCATAGTAACTAAAAGCAAGGCCATTTTTTCCCTTTCTGTTCAGTATTCACTTGGATCACTTACAGCTACTGCTTCTTTTTCACCGACTCCAGATAGAGGGAGATAGAGAGCCCAACCTCAGCCTGAATAACCAAAGGAGATAGAAGACAGAGAGGGCAAAGTGTCATAGACTGGATCAGGATCAGAGCTGAGGAGTCCTGGCATCCAGTCTGATGCCCCATACTTGGGCTGACCCAGCTTCCAAGGTTAGACAAGCAGTGGATCATAGCTTTAGTGCTGAGAGGGACCTTAGACATCATCAAGCCCAACCACTTCATTTTAGAGTTGATGGAACAAGGCCCAGAGAGGATGAATGTCTCAGCCAGGGTCAAACAACCAGTAATTAAGGGAGATGGGATTTAAGTGCAGGCTGATCAGTCAGTAAACATCTGTTTAACACCAACTATGTGCCAGACACTCTGCTAAGCTCTAGGGATACAAAAAGACGCAAAAAAAAAAAAAACAAAACCAGTCTCTGCCCTCAAGGAACTCATAATCTGATGGGTGAGACAAGCAAATAAATATGTACAAACAAACCTTATACAGGATAAATAGGAAATAATTAAGAGAGGGAAAGCACTAACCTTAAGAGAAGTTGGGAAAAGCTTCTTGTAGAAGATCTTCCTGGCTCCAGATACATCATTTAGCCATTATGCTGCTCTGCTTGCCAGTTGCCTTTCAGGTGCTGAGAGAGTAGTACTTTCAGGTCTCCTGGGTTTCTGTCTGTGTTGGGCTTTATTTCTAGCCAATCTATGTTTCATACCTGGGGGATAGAGTGGCACTCTGTTAAAAGGTTCCTGGGGGTACCTCAATGGGTAGGGTCCCTCTAGGGTGGTAGCCTTTGGGTTAGGTCGGGTGGAAAAAGGAAAGGATAAGCAAAAGGCATTATGGTGAAATAGAAAGTTCCCTAGACTTGGGAGTCAGAAGAGCTCTGATTTCGATTCCCACTTTGGACATACCTGTGTGTCAAACCAACCAACCTTTCTGAACTTCGGTTTCCTTATCTACAAAATAGTAATAACAATACCTATAGAATCTGCTTCTCAGGGTCACTGTGATAAAACAGATATAAAGCACTTTATAAATCTTTAAGGCCTATATAAATGTCAGCTGTCATTATCATATGAGCTGAAGACAGACAAGTTAGAAAAGGAGTCTTGATAGGGTAGGCTATTGGACAGAGTAAGATCTTACGCTGGTATTCCAGACTTCAAATTCACATATCACAAGATAAAAAAGGCATGGCTAGACAGCAGTTCATCTGAAAAAAATATCTTGGGGAGGGAGGAGGTTAGGGTTGTTTAGGGAGCTGTAAGCTCTATGTCAATCGTGGTGTGATACTGCAGTCCAGAAAAGTAGTACAGAGAAACCAGGAATTAAGAGATGACGGTATACTCTGCTCTAATGAGATGTCGTCTGGAGTAGTGTGTTCAGTTCTGGGCACCACAAGTTAGGAAGAATGTTGGCAGGCTTCTGATGGAAGTCAACCAAGCTGGTGAAGTGCCTTGAGTTCAGACTGTATGAGGCTCAGCTGAAGGTATTGGGAATTCTTGGCCAGGAGAAGGGAAGACTCAGGAGGGATATGATAGCTGTCTTAAAGCATTTAGAGGCCTGTCACCCATTTGTTCTGTCTGTCCCCAGAGGGCAGAATTAGAAACAGTGGGAGAAATTGTGAAGAAAAGAAATTGCAAAAAACCAAAATGCTTACTGTCAGGCAGGGAACCCACTTCCTTACAGTTAGCCTTATGTAAGAGTAGCCAGTCCTGCCTTGGGAAGTAATGGGTTCCTCTTCATAGGAGGCCTTCAAGAAAAGGCAGCATGACCACTTGGGAGGGCATTGCAAACAGAATTGTTTTGCAGATTTAGGTTGGACTAGTTGGCCACTGAAGACCCTTCCAACTCTGAAATTCTGAGATTGTGTTGCACCAGGCCAGGAGAGGGGACAGAAGATGTGGGAGAAGCTTGTGCAGTTTAGGGCACAGTGTTCTGTCCCACTCACCTATGGAATGTCATATCACTTGGTTCAATCAGAGGGATCAATTGGAAGACCAGAAAAGTATTGGGTATTGAGTATTGGGCCTGTTTGCCAGGCTGGCTAGATGGCTCTAGGCATCCTTCTGTTGATTGGAGTGAACACTCCACTGAGCTGTTTTGGTGCTTTTTCCTCAGGTGATCCAGCAAGCCCTGCACCGGCAGCCTAGCACTGCAGCTCAGTACCTGCAGCAGATGTATGCAGCCCAACAGCAGCACCTCATGCTGCAGACAGCAGCACTCCAGCAGCAGCACCTCAGCAGCGCCCAGCTCCAGAGCCTGGCGGCCGTGCAGCAGGTGTGACGGGAGGGCGGAACATGCACATGTGTGGCTGTCTGTGTGTGTCTGTGTGAGAGAGAGACAGAGAAAGCCAGGCAGATAGAGACAGAGACAGACAGAGTTGGGAGACCCCCTCAGAGCCTATGTAAATGAAAAGGTTCCTGGCCACCTGCATATTTGCCTCATTTCTGGCCATCTCTCTGGTGACCCAGAGTAGCTTTTCAGCTTGGGGGCTGAAATAGCCAGAGTAATTAAGCAGGATCTCACTACCCAGAGGCTGGAGAGTGCTGGTGTTGGTAGAGGAAGGAAAGGGGCATTGGATGGGAAGGTGGGGAAAGTAGGAGGAGTTTCCGATCCTGGAGAGCATTGTGGGGAGGTCTGGAACCCCAGTGAAGAGTGTTTCTTTTTTATAGGCAAGTCTGGTGGCCAACAGACAAGGGGCCCCTTCAAGCAACAATGGCTCTGCACAGTCCCCAGCCCAGTCACCGTCGGTAAGTGGGATGCTGAACAACTAGAGGTGGGTATTCACAATTCTGGGGCTTACTCCTTCCATTCTGCTTTGAACACCTATGTATTCCTAGGTTCCATACTGTGGGGAATCTTTACATAGGTGAGATGAAGGGACACAAACCTGTCCTTGCCCCTCTTTCATACACTTTACATAACTGGCTAGATTTTAGAGGAACTCAGACACTGCCCCCCCTTGTGGTGGGGTCTACGTAGCCTTTCTCTAAGGGCTTTTGCTACCCTAACTAGTGGAGAAGGTTTGTGTGCTTCTCTCTGTCCTCCCTGTTTTCTTCCTCTTCCCTCCAAGAGCTTGTTGTCCATTCATTCACACATGACAAGGTTATCTTCTCCTAGAGTAGTCCTGAGTCCACTGAATCCTTTCTGTAGTGGAGAATCCAAATCAGGGATGGGGGAGGAGTGATGGCTGCCTGAGACCACAGAAGGTCACATTCAATCCTTATCCTCACAGAGTTGGACCCAAAAGAGTCTGGGCTCACCATGGAAGCCAAAGGTGGACAGCAGTGCTTTACAAGGGGATGGGTATGTGGGCTAGCCCACTGAACTTGCCATTTTCTACTGCTTATGTCTCCCCAGATAAACCTGGCAGCATCCCCAGCAACAGCTCAGCTCATCAACCGTGCCCAGAGTGTCAACACAGCTGCAGCCTCAGGCATTGCCCAGCAGGCTGTGCTGTTGGGTAATACCTCGTCTCCGGCACTGACAGCCAGCCAGGCGCAGATGTATCTGAGGGCACAGATGGTGAGCACTCTTGCCTTGGGCACGTGGCCGGACTCTTCCTATGGATTTAGAGTAGGGAACTCAGGAGAACTGAGACAGGTCCAAATGGAAGGGGAGGCACAGAGATCAGAAGAAGGAAAGTCAGAAATAATGGTAAAAAAGAAACAGGGATTAGGAGATATACAGGAAGAAAGAAACAGGTGGGTTAGGGAGTGGGATAAAGACAGACAGGGCTGTGGATCATCTCAGGACCTGAGCAAAGAAGGATAAATACATTATATTGTCCCTGTCCCTTTCCTTGCTTCCTGAGAAGGAAATAAGGCCACTTACCGGCTTGTTCAGGCCTCCTCTGCAACTCTACACCTTCCAGAACTCAACAGGGAAGAGGATATGCAGGGAACCCACAATTCACCCATAGCGTAGTGTACTTGGATGAGCCTGAGTTCAAATCATGCCTGTGCCCCTCACTACCTGAGTTATCGTGGGTAATCTCTTCAGCTCCTGGGGCCTTAGTTTTCTCCTCTGTAATTGAAAGAGTTGAACTAAATGATCTCCAAGGCCCTTTCCAGCTCTGAATCCTTTGATCCTATTTGACAGACATATGTCACAACAGAATAAAAAAGGGGGAGAGAGTTGTTCATACAATTAGAATTGTGCCTTCTGGAGATAGGTGTATAGGACCCACCTCCACTATAGAGGCAAAGTAGTAATACCACAACTGCCTGGCTGCAACATTGACCAAAAAAATGTAGTTATAAATGCCACCATAAGGAATACTCATAATCTCCAAACTCTCTGCAATGAACAGCTTTCAAAATATAAAGACCTAGAGGAAGAAATGTGGAAACGGGATGAGGTGACATGTCAACTTCTCAGTGCCTCAGTTTCCTCATCTGCAAAAAGGAGGGGGGAGTTTGGACTCTCTGAGGACTCTTCCTGCTCTAACTTGATGCTTTTCTCATCCCTGACCTCCTTCTTATGCTATTAAGAGTTCTCTCTGTGATGTTTTCATAAATTCTATAGAAGATGCGCTTACATTCCAATACTTTTATTCGGTTATAAAAAAAATCATATAATCCACCTGTACAATAATCTAGAGGCCACTAAATATTAAGGAATAACAGCAGAATAACTACTTGTCCTTAGACCATTTCTATCTGAACCCTATCCAAAAAAATGTAAAAAAAAACGTGATATTAGTGTGTAAAGGTTTGCCAAGTGCTTTATAAATGTTATTTCATTTGGTTAGGCAATAGTGGTAAAAGCCCTCCTAGTCACTGTGTGGGCCTTACCTGTACTCCTCCAGCACTGTAGCCTCAACTCCTTGAAGGAGGGGATTCCTTTCCAAATCAGGGCACTAACTCTGGGCAAACTCCCCTGAACCACTAGTCTGAGGCCCAATCCAGCAGACTTCCCAGTTTGTAAAGGAATTCCCTGGGTACAGATTGACTCTCTGTGCAGAGGGCTGGAACTACTACGTGGACTACCAGGGGTGGTGAACCTGTGGCTTTGAGGCCACATGTGGCCTTCTAGGTCCTTGGTTGCAGCCTTTTGACTGAGTCCAAGTTTTACAGAACAAATCCTTTTATTAAGGGGATTTGTTCTATGAAGTTTGGAGTCAGTCAAAGGGCAGCACTTAAGACCTAGAGGGCCGCATATGGCCTTGAGGCCACAGATTCCCCAGCCCTGGACTAGACCCTCTGGGCCCATGGCTGTGTGTGGGAAAGCAAACAGCATCTCTTCCTGTGAGTCTGTGGTCCATCTGGCTAAGCTGATGTCTCTATTCCTTTTCCACAGTTATTCTATTCCACTATTCCTTTGTCTCCTCAACTCATCTTCATGCTTCAGGTGGTGAGACTTCATGGGAAGCCTTATTCCCAGTGGAAAAGCTCAAGTCACTGAATTAGACCCTTCCGCAATCCCTTAACCTCAAATCTTCCACACTGACAGAGTAGCACCTCCTTTCTCCCTTCTCAATCCTTTGAGCTGACTGGAACCTCATTACTTTGTTCTTTTCCATTCCTTTCTCATATGTGCCATAATGGTTGTGAACAAAATATTTGTACCATATAGAGAACAGCATTTTCCCGTGCCCAGAGGACAGGAGTAGAGTTTACAGACTCTTTTTCTCCCTGTGTCCTCTAACAGATGACTTCACTTGAGAGTATGGCTGGGTCTTCCTTCACTTTACTCATCCTTAGCCAACTCGCAGGGCAGGACTAAGGACCTTTGGGGGTTGGCTGAATTTTTACTGTACAGTGTGTTTACAGCTTTACAGGTGTGCTCACAAAGGGAGACACACACACACACTCACTCACATACACACAAGTGCAGACATACTCAAGGAGCCCATGCTCACAATCGTACAGAATTTGAGAGCTGAAAGAGACCCTTAACGAGGAATAAGCCAACCTACACCTGAGTAGGAATCCCTGACCATATCCTGCCTCTGCCAAAACACCTCCAGTTTTTGGCAGCTCATTATAACAAGAGGCAGCCCATTCCATTTTTTGTCAGCATTGATTATGGGGAAATTTTTCCTAATGTATCAAGCCAAAATCTGCCTTTGGGAAGCCTCCACTCATTGCTCTCACTTCTTCATTCTGGAACTAAGAGGAAGCATAATTCCTCTTGATGTGACAGCTCATCACACACCTGAAGAGATGGCATCCTGCTTCTTCCAGGTCTTCTCCAAGGACAGACGTAGACATGAACATACAGAGGGACGACCCACCCAGTAGACCAAAGAAAGCTAGTCATACACAGGTGAAGGAATGAGAGAGAGCAGGGAAATGATGAATGTCCTAGAGAGAAAACAGTGGGAGGAAGCGATGTTCTTTGTCTGTTACGTGCACAGAGAGCCACATAGACCACACAGAGAGGAGTACACACACACACACACACCCCACCCCACACACACACACACATATCCCTAGTCTCAATCTCGCCAGTGTATAGTCAGTGTTTCCAGGTCCCTTGAAAGTGTCTGGCATCAAACTAAATGTGGCCTAATCAGGTCAAATGTGTATGTAGCTGATTTGATCAGTTCCGTAGTCCAGGACAGCTCTAGGCCAGGCTTCTAGTACAGCTCAGGATTGAGACAAGCCTGGGGAATGTCGAGGGGCATGGGACAGGGTGGGAGGGTCTGACCCAACCTAGGATTATCCTTCGTTCTCAGGTCCTGAGGAAACTGATGGAAGCCAAGGCTTCCCTGGGGAGAGTTGCAAAAGAGAGCCTGGGCAGCCCCAGGGATCTTGGGTCAAACCTAACATTTGGATCTGCCCCAGAGTAGTTCCTTCGGGGCTGGACTAAAATTGCCCATGGGGCTCCCACTATGGACCTTTACCCCTAGAGTCCCTGCTTTGTTGGAAGTCTTCTACTTCTACTTTCTTGGCCTTCCCCATATCTGCCTCCTGGACCAAACTACCCTCCTGCCTTCTGGCTTAGCCCACACTGGGCAGGTAAACGGCACCTCCTTTCCTGTGATTCCAGACCCAGCCAGGTAACCTGGTGCAGGTAACTAGGAGCCTAGGCGGCACTGTTCCTTTGTCCCCTCAGCTCATCTTCACGCCCACGGCCACCGTCACTACCGTGCAGCCTGAGCTCAGCACCGGCTCCCCTGCCCAGCCCCCCACCCCCAATCAGGTGAGGACTTCATGGACCGGGCCTGGGGGAGGGAAAGGGAGGGATAAATGGTTCCTAGGGAGGTGGGCACCCCAGGAGAAGGGTATGGCTATTTAGGTTGGCCTAGTGGATCTCCAGAATTTCTGGTAGGGCAGGGTTCCCTAGGAAAGCACGAAACAGAGCAGCCAGAAGTTTCCAGCCTGGGGCCCCTTCACAGCTGTACTTCACTGCCTAAAACATCTATGTAGGTGAGGAGCTTGGGAATAGCATGCTAAGGCAAGAAAGTAAGTAACTGCCATTGGGGTCCTCAGTGCCCTAAACCTTCCCTACTATTCCCTTCCTTCCACCATCCCTGAAATGAGTCTTCACAGGAATTCTTACTGCTCTTGAGGACATTAATCTATCCTGGCAGGAAAAATAGCATGGAATGAGGATGAACCTTTGGGCTCCTAGCCTTGCCAGGGTCTATGGGCCTTATGGTGGAAGAGAAGATTCTTTGGGCAGCAAGGAAAAGGAGACTATGCCTAGTGGTGGCAGGCCTAGAAAAAGAACATGGACAGCAAGATGTTTGTCCTAAACCTGGCCAACACCTTGTGTCCAGTAGAGGGCACCAAGAACCAGATTGTGTAAGGATATTTGATGCCTCAGCAAAGAAAGGCCAAGGAAGGAAGGACAGAACTATTCTAGGGGGCAAAAGAGCTATATGCTTGGTTGCCCCAGCAGGACAGTAACTTGCCCTTTTGTGCCTTAGGGCAGAGGGAGGCCCTCAGAAGTTGTCCATTTCCCTTAGATATTCTGCCTTAGTGATCTGGCATCGTGGGAATTTGCTCCAATACTTGGTAGCAGTGATACTTTTCTGACCCTCAGAGGACTGGTCATGGAGGGGATATGCAATGGGGACAAGGTCTGGCATACCTGCCCTGTCCTGGGTTAAGATTCCCATCCTAGAATTCAGTTTCTGCTTTCATCCTTCTATGTCCCTTTTCAAATCTACCCCAGCTCCTGCCCCCTCCAACCCCAAACACTGTCTATCTGGCATCACGGTCTCCTACCCTATTCAGCCATCCCTGGATCAGTCCCTGGCCCCATTGCTTCCATTGCCTCTTGGCACTATATTAAGTATACTGGCATTGCTTCTGCCTCCCATCCCCATCCCTATCCCTACTTGGTTGGTGCTACCCCCAGACTCCCACAGACCCCTCTCTTCCAGGTACAGAACTTGACCCTCCGAACGCAGCAGACAGCAACCACAACAGCCTCCGGCCCCACCCCCACCCAGCCTGCACTGCCCAGCCTGGCCCTGAAACCCACCCCAGGCAACAGCCAGCCTCTGTCCACCCCCTCACAGGGCAGAAGCACGGCTCAGGGATCCCCAGCAGGTGCCAAGCCTGGCATAAGTGACAGTGTGGCTGAGCAACTCAAGAAGGGGGACAGCAGCAGTGGCAATGTGCCAGGGAGCACTGAGGGCCGGGGGGGACTAAGCCGGATGGTGTCCCCTGTGGCCACACACCCCCTCATTGCACCAGGTAAGGCCCAAGACAGTATCTTGCTCCAGAAGATCCCAAAGCACTCCCAGGTTGACAGAGTATTTTCATACTTCCTTTCTCCAAGGAGGTCCTAGACCCGACCCATCTAGGGGAAGAGGATAGCTAGTCTCACCCAGTTTTCCCTCTATTTCCCTGCTCCAGATCCATGGGCCTCTGGTTTTATTCAGTGCTCCTGTCTTGGCAGAGGAGATATTGTAAACCAGAGGGGAAGGAAGGTCTGCTGTTCCTTCTACACAGGGCACACAGTGGCAAGAAGCCTCATGTTCAATAATAGCTGTGGACCCTCTCTGGCAAGGGAAGGTGGATGCCAGCTCCCTGTTGGCAAAAGGCGGAAGTCTAGTTAGAGGATCTGGAGGAAGAGCTGTCCTCCAGCACAGAGAGATGAGCACTTTTGTGTTTTTGACTTGTAGACCCCATGTGGAGAGAGGAGTAGTGGAATGTGGGAATGGCCTGGCCTTGCCATCCCAGCTCAGACACTTAAGAGCTCGATGAATGAGGGTAAAGCACTTAGTCAGTCTTCTAAGTCTCAGTTTTGACCTTTGTAAAATGAGAAGAATAATATTTGCACTACTCATCTCATGGGATTGTTGGGGGAAGTACTTTGCAAACTTGACTAAAAGACAAAAACTATACAGTCAGCAAGGATTGGAGGCAGATGTGGTACAAGGAAAAATCACTGAATTCTTGCCCTGCTATTTAATGCTTGTATAATCTTGAGCAATCACTTTATCACTCTGGGCCTCAGTTTCCTCATCTTCAAAATGAAGAGATTGTGCCACTGATCTCTTAAATCTCTTCAGTCCTATTCACCAAGTATTTATAAAGCAGCAGCCTGTGCCAGGCACTGTGCCTGGTGCTGGGTATGAAGATGAGAATGAGAATAGTCACTGCCCTCATGGAGCTTACATTTAATGGATAGAAACACCATGTAAATACAAAATGTAAAGTAATTTCAGGGAAAGGGAGGGATTGCTAACAATTGGAGAATCGGGAAGGGTAGGAGCCTTTGAGCTGAGCCAGTTCTAAATCCTGTGATCTTGCTGGCCTTTGAGAGAGAATGTCTGGCCACCTTGTGGCAATGTGCCAGCAAGCTAAATGCAAGTATTTAAATAAATATGGCTTCATCCAAAACATTTTTATCAGTGACCTGGATAATGATATAGATGCCGTCATCCTTCGTATAGATGATACAAGGCTAATATGTTGAATGACAGAATTGGGATACCAAATCATCTAAACTGGAGAAAATAATGAGTCAAAGGGAATAAGATAAAACAGTTCTCCAGGGATCAATGAAAAGTGTAGTATTTAGGTGCAAAACCCTGCTGTACCCATAGAGGAGGGGTGAGGGGGGGTGGTTAGAGGGCATAAAAAAGACCACAAAGTCACAGGGACTACAGGCTCTCTGGGAGTCACAAGAATGATTCAGCAGCCCAAAAAGCCAGTGTGCTCTTAGGGTGCATTAACAGAAAGAATATCTAGAACAGGGATGGGGAACCTGTGGCCTCAAGGCCACATGTGACTTTCTAGGTCCTTGGGTGTGGCCTCTTGACTGAGTCCAAGTTTTACAGACCAAATCCTTTTATTAAGGGAATTTATTCTGTGAAATTTGGATTCCAGAAGACCTGGAGGGCCACATGTGACCTTGAGGCTGGGTTCCCAACCTCTGGTCTAGAACAAGAGGGTGGTAATCCCAGTACCTTCTGCAGAGATTTGATCAGACACATTTATAATACTATCTTTGATCCCAGGCCCCACCTTGTAGGAAGGACAGTAACACCCCCAGAGTTAGTTTGGAGGAAGGCAAAGAGGATCAGTCAATCAACAAACATGTATTAAGTGCCCAGGCACTGTGCTAAGCACTGGATGGTGAAGGGATTCAATATGTGTTTTAGAGCAGGGTCATAACATGGCAGTCATGTTCAGACATTTGAAGGGTTGTCCTGTAGAAACAGGATTAGGCTCATGCTATGTAGCTCCACAGTACAGAACTAGGCCTGATGGGTGTGGGGAGGGAATGAGAGGAAAATCCATTGTGGCTCAACACAGGGAAGAGCTTCCTAAAAATCAGAACTGTCTACAGAGGGAATGAAGGGATACATCTGTGCCACTGGGGGTCAAGCGGATGCCTGGGGCAGGAAATTAGATAGCAGCTACTGAGAAGGAAATACAGCCCATAGTCCAAAAGGTCCTCAGGACTGCCATTTACCCCCATGATTGACCTAGAGGTTCTCTCTAGATCTGAGGCCACCCCCCAATCTAGATGGGGAGGTGGAAGAGAGAGACAGGAGAGGAAGGGAGAAAGAGGGAGAGAAAAAATTCATTAAACGCTTACAATGTACCAGGCATTGTACTAGAAAGTCCCTCAAAGCATGTGTTCTGTCATGAGGCTGCTGAGCTGGTTGGGCTCTAAGGAACCTAGAGAGAGATACAAAACAGTCCACCTTCTCCTTAGGACTCCTTCACCTTGGTTCAGATTGGCTCCAGACTAGCCAGCCAGTCACCCTCTATGTACTCCACCGTTGCCCAGACACCCTAGCCAATACAGCTCTGGCTATAGGCTTCTCAGGCTCTCCTTGAGGCTAACCCATAGATCCAGGGGCCCCAGAACCTCCAGAATTGTTCTAGAGTTTATAGAGACAGTTGGAGGAGGGGGCCCTGTTTCCATAGGCCTTATTTAAGCAGAAAGGGTCTGTGTGGCCATAAAGACTAAGGTCTGTGGAGTCAAGGGTCAGAAGGCTGTCTGGGGAATGCTATTGCAACTGTCCACACTTAGCTTCATTCTAGCACAGAGCACATCAGCCCCCACAGAGCTTTCTGTCAGCATCTGTGAGCTGGAGAGGCACAAAGACCCTTTCCTCATGGATTCAGACCAGTGGGTTTTGCATTGTTCTAGCAACCACAATGCCCTCCCAACCTCCCCCTCCTTTTTTCTCTTTCCTCTCTCAGAGCTCTATGGTCAGGGCCCCCACCCCCACCTTTCCGAATCCATGGCCCCTTCCATCTTGAAAGATAACTAGGGGAAGATTTGGATGGTCACAAGGGCTCAGGCTTTTGGAACAAAGAGTAGACAGAATCAGGGAGGAAAGATGGGCCTTATAACCCCCTGGGAGACAGCCTGGGGTCATGCTTGTCCTTAGCTCCACAGCTCCCTAGCATCCCATCCAGCCTATCCACTGGGACAGAATTGAGGGATTAGGAAGCTGAAAGGGGGAGGTGAATTGGAGGTGGGGGTGGCTTGGCCAGTCAGAGTTGGCCTTGAGATGGCTGCTGCCCCTAAGGAAGATCACCAGTGGGGGGCTATGGGGTAGCAGGGAGGAATGTGGTCTCCTAGGGGCTATTTCCTCCTAGAGCAGGCTTCTAGTCCCAACTGGGGCTGTTCCCATTGACAGCTGTTTGGGGGCAAAGCCCCTCCCCCATAGCAAGTTCCCTGCTGCTCTCATCCTGTCACCTTGGCAACCAGGCTTCTTTAGGCCTTACAAACAGAAAAGGCCCCCTCTGCCTTGAAAAGCTTTGAGGAGGGAGCAGAGCCTGGGGGCTTGGCTTTCGGGAGGGAGGGAGGGAAGGAGGGGAGAGCTGGCTTTGCTTGGCTTAAATCTGTGAGCCCTGAGCCAGCAGGATACTCCTGGCCTTGGCCTCCCAGAAAGCTAAGCCAAGCTTGACACCTGGTACCGAGCCCCAAAGGACAGGGGTCCAAACAAGGACTGACTTGGGACCTCAGGTGTAATGATACCCTAAGGGTAGCCTCTGTACTGATGCCTAATCTCCCGCCTCCAACTAGGGGCAAGGGCTTACTTACGGTGTGAGAGGCAATGATGGGGGGTGGAATTAGTGATATCAGCCCTGGAGGGTCATTGAGAATCAAAGGCTGTTTTCACCCACTGTTTCCCAAGATCCCTCACAAACTCTTTGTTCTGCCTTCTGCCACCACTCCTCCCCTCCCCCTTCCCCCCTTTGCTCCTGTTTTTCATGCCTACTCCATCCTCAGCAGGGCAGAAGGCACTATCTGTTAATAACAATTACTATATAGTTGCTTTGTTCCACCTCAGAGGTAGTTGCACATCAGTGGGAAAAAAAATATCTGCAGGTAATTGGCTGAACAATTTGGGATTGGGAGGCACCACATTCTTCTCTACAAATAGCCATTGTTGATTGACTGATTGATTAATTGATTGGAGTAAAGATGCCATTACATGAAGTTAAATAGAGAAGTAGATATCACTGCCTCTAGAAAGCCCAGGTAGAAAAAGAATATAGGAATGAACCTGTTTGGTTATATGAGAAGATCAGCTGTTTTGGTCCATTACCCATTATACTGAATATAGTCCTCTCATACCATTGTATGGGTGGAGTCACTGAACAGTTTCGATTAAAGATGATCATGGGTGGTCATTTTAACTACCCTGCCCCTACAAGACCACACTTAAGTTTTAGTAAAATCTTTAATTAAAAAAACCTTAAAGATGGAGCAGCATTGCTAAGAGGAGTGTATATCGTTTAACATCCCTCTCTGCCACGATGCACATGTGCACCCCCACTCTGACACACATTTCACTTGACATTGGTGATCACCCAATTTCCTTTGGAAATTGGTTCTACTCTTGGCTTCCTTAGCATTGTGTTCATGCTATTTCCTTACCTTGTTTCTCCTTTTCTCTTTTCTTCTTCTCCTTTCTGTGAGTCTTCCAAAAATTCAGTTCTAGGCTCTCTCGTTCTCTCCCTGTAACATTAACTGCTCACATGGTTTTAGCTCTACCTACCACCTGTATGCAGATGGCTCTCAAATCCCTATCACCCTCCTTGATCTCTTCCCTGCTTCCACTCCCAAAACTCCAGCTGCCTGTAGGACAGCAGCACCAGGAAATTTATCATACCCACACCTGACTTTTGAAATGTTTTTATGTGAATTGACAGTTGTCTTCCCCAAATGGACCTGTCCCCTAATGTTCTCATTGCTGCCAACACCACTCTCCATTCCA